GMTWAAMRSGGAGWTAGGAGGAAGCGGAACTGGGAATAGTATGGCAGCTRTGTATGACACTAAAGTACCATCTCAGATAAAAGCTGCACCTTTTTATCTTGCAAAACCCCTGCCATGTTATTAATCACTGCCTCCCCTAAGCAGGGATGCAAATCTGGTGAGGGATGGAGATCAGGCACAGACATGAAATAGTCCTATACGTAGAGAGACGGATACAGACTGCTTGCCATCCAGGGKCAGGCGCCCGGGCTGGTGTTTTGGAGGGCAGGTTAAGCAAGCCGGAATCAAGAATGTTCTCACTGCTCTTCACCTATGCTTCTGGTCTGACAGCTCTGCTTTGCTTGTGTGAATAAAGAGATGGAATAAATAGCTTGGACAAAGAAGAGCAGGGAGGAATTGTACATTCTCTCTCTTTTGTTATTATAGAATATTTTTTGCCTTAACAACATAGTGTGTTGGTGAACTGTACGACACCAGACAATGAAATAAGCCTCCTCTAATCAGGAATCTCATTTCACTTCTGCCATAGATCTTCTGTGTTCATCTTGTTTTCCATTTCGCAGCACTGCTTTCCTCATGGGACCAATGAAACAACTGAAAAAGATGTTTGAGCCTACTCGTTTGATTGCTACTGTTGTTATGCTAGTAGGTATCAAAGGAATCCCTCTTGCTGGGTGTTAACTTGGAAACAATTTTTGTTGTAAATTCCTTTYGCAGACTTTGATATGACTGCTTCTCAAGAGCTTGTTTTAAAAACATCCTGTGGATTGCTACTGTATGTGTAGCCCCAGATAGGCACTTTTTCCTGTTATGAAAGTCTGAGTTGCAGCCAGGTTCATGAGCTACGCGATCATTAAGGCTCTGTGGCTTATGTAGGTGTGAATCATGCACATAGTTTCATTGTGCTTGAGGTCATGTTGCTGTCATACTTTCATGTTGCTTAGTAAGAGATGATAGACAGGAAACATCTTAGGGTTTTTAAGTTGTACTTTTAAGTTGTACAGCTTTAAGTGGAAGCTGTTAGAAAGAGCCTCTCTTGCATCACTTTGTCATCTTACCTCCTATCTGATGCCCTGTAAGTAACTGCATAGGTATTTTTGCCTTGATAAAATACTAATTTCATGACAAAGCAATTGGGAAATCTCTATGTCCAAGTTATCTASTTTCAAAAATAGGAAAGATCTCTTAGTTGGCTGATAGCTTTAAGTTTAAAAACTTGTATGATAAAACAAATTCGACATTCAACTAATGTCATCCTTTGGAATTATTTTGTCTTTAGAAGATGCTCTCCATTGGACAACATATGGAAATTAATGAGAATTCTGTGACTCATTCTTGTTTAAAACTGCATGTGCTGCTTTTTTTTTTTTCCTCTCCCCTTCCTTTTTATTCCTAYACTTTTCTCTTGGGAAGCTTGAAGTTCTGTAATGTTGTCTGATGTATGTATAAAACTGCCTTTAATTTTCAGTGTGAGCATTGTGAGAGCATTCAGTTGGTATGAGCACTTCCTTTTTTCTTTCAAAACATGTAAAGAGGMTGCAGGCAGCTGATAGCAGCTTAAGAAACTTTCCTTAAGAAATACTTAAAAATGGATTAAAACTTCAATTTATATTATTTCAGTAATTACATAGTTTCAACTGCATGGGTAACCCTGAAAGTAAAGAGCACACATGGTATGAACAGAAGTGGAAAGATTAGAGAAATTAGAGGCATGGTGTTTACATACAATATCGAGGAGTATGTGGGAAGAAGCAGGAACCTACTGAGTAGCAAGAGGAGTAGGAACCTCCTGCTATTCTTCCTCTATAGCTGGGAGCTTTCTGGAATTTTTCACTAATTCACTTCAGAAATGAAGTAGCTAGTGCCTTATAAATAAGGGTAACTTTTCAAGAATTTGAAAAACTGTGAAATAAGTAGTCTGTTTCTGTGCTGTGAAGGAAGCCTTTATAATGTTCTATCTATAAAAACTGGATCTTTTTTTTGTTCATTGAAATTATTTTCTCTTCTAGTTGTGCCTTATACTAACACTGTGTGCTGCTTTTTGGGTGAGTACTCAAGTCCTGGTGTGTGTATATAGAATTGGAATGTATTTTTAAAATAATTCTTACATGGTGAGCTAGTTGCCATCCTGTRTTTTTTTCATGTTTGTTTTATTTTTTTTTCCCTTCCTTTCAGTGGCACAATGCAGGACTGGCCCTTCTTTTCTGCATATTGCAGTTTTTTGCCCTGGCATGGTACGTGATTTCTTTCCCTCACCCATTTTTTATAGCACCTAACCTCAGTTGTTGAATTATCAGAGGATTTTGACCTTGTAAGAATTAAAAGGAAGGAGAATTGTCTACCTCGCTCGTCTAGAGGTGAGACAAAGCACCTATAAAGAGCTGGCATGTTCTTGCTCTTGGCTGCCTTTACTCTATTTCAGTGAGTGTGGAGGTGGAGTTTAGGGTTCCATTTYGGGAGAAATGCCTTTGATTTTTGTTTAATTTCTGTGAGTTTGAGGTAAAACTAGTCTCCCTCTCCCATTCACACTTTAGTTTGATCAGGTCGTTTATGACTTCTTCTATTCCCCTTTAGACCGTCTGCAGTTTGTCAGGTGCAGTGACCCATGTGTGCTAATCAAAWTAAGTATCAGTTGTCTTCAAGTCACTATACACTCTGCATAGTGTCTCAGGTGTAGTACAGGAACTGATTTAAAAACATCCAGCCAGCCCTCAAAATTTGTCCCATCTACCTGTAGACACTGGAATATGAAGAGTATTAAAGGTAAACTGTTTTAAGATATTTTCACAGTGTGCCCCATGATTTTGCCATGCTCTTTCACAACCTGGCTGGGCTAAGAGAACTTACCAAGGTATTTATATTTTTGGCTCACAAACTCAAAGCTACATTAGGACTGCTATATACATTTTACAGTTATAGACCTATTCAGAGGAACAGAGGGTTATTCCTCCTGTGTGTGACTCTTAAAATGTTCCTTCTTAGGTACAGCATTTCCTTCATACCATTTGCAAGGTAAGCATTCCTCTTCTGCCCCTCTTACCTTTTGTCATTTTAAACAAAAGAGAAGATTACTGAAGATTACTTAGAATAGTTTTTTGGGTTTTTTTTCCTGTGATGATGTTTGGAGGGAGAGGGAAGCTGGTGTGATTGGAGCTGAAAATGGGATTAAGCATCTCTTCTGGTGCAAGGACACAATTTAAATGTACCCTAATGAGAGGGCTTCCTCTTCAAGTGTGCAACTGCACAGCCTATACAGAAAAACTAAGACTTGCCTTTGGAATACCTGTGTTCACCAGAAATGCTCCTTCTGTGTGCCTCGCTCCTCAGCCCCCTAGAGTATTTGTCTAATGCTTCATCAAGCAGTTTTCTGCCCACTTTTTCCACCTCACTCTTCCTTATTCCCTGCCTCAGGACAGGATTGAGGCCCAGGGCTGCAGGGCTGGTGCAGGGTGAGCAGAGCTGCCTGACTTTGCTCTGCTCCTATACAGTCACACAGATGGGGTAAGGGCCATTAATGCATGGCCAGCTGATTTAAAGTTAGAAGCATCATTGGGCTGGTAGCTGCATGGAATGAGTCTCAGCAAGCAGCATAACTGAGATGACTTTTGTTTTTTGGTTTTGTTTTCTCTTTTTCATCCATTCATAGGGATGCTGTGAAGAAATGTCTTTCAGTCTGTCTGACCTAACAGGAATACTGGATGCTTCACAGAGTTCTTGGAAGGATAGTAGAACTATGTTAAGATCACTGTGTATGTATTTTCCTACTTCTGTCTTAACCACGTGCCTTTTGGCTTCTTGTTGGAGGTTCCTTGTCTTAAATCCAGTGTGTACAGTTACTTGTTTTTGTAAGCAATGATGCCTGTAGGACAGGGTGCTCATGTGATTTAAATGAAGGTCACTCTGGCAGAAGAACTGGGCAGAGTGTGATGTGATGATAATTAGTATGTAAAATCATGCAAGTGTTTGGTTTTGCAAAATTAGCACAGAAAGTTTGGGATGAAGTCTGTAAAGCAGAGTCCTTGCTTCTGGGACTAAGCCACTTTGGAAGATCTGATTTTCAAGAAAGGGATCATTTGCCATCTGATTTTCCTGTCGAGAAATTTTCAAGTAACTTTGTATCACTTAATCTTTGCACTGTTTACCTTGGGTAATGAGTACTGCTGTTCTGTTGTCTCTCTGTCACTTGCAAAATTTTAGATTTAYGATACTGCTAGAAAGCTTGTTTCTGAATGAAAAGACTGTTTCGAGGTAAATATTTGAAATGTATGCTTCCTCAGTGAAGCATTTCACTTGTTGTATAAAGTGATAGCGTTTTCCTAAAATGAATGAAAGGGGCACTTTCTTTTGTAAAAACTTGTTTGCATGGGGAAAGCACTTACAAAGTAAGGTAAATAGAATTTTTGTAGCTGCCAGAAACCAGGGTTCTTTGCCTTGCCTACTGCCAGCAGCACTACAGCACAAGGCAAGAAACTGAAAATTCTCAGATGAGGTGAGGTGCTTCTCTTCTCCCTGAGCTATAGTACATGAGAAGCACAAAACTGAGGAAAGAATATGTAAACTAAGAAAGAATTTGTCTATTTTCAAACAGCAAACTTTTTGCTTATAGAGTGAAGGGATAAGGTGTTAAATCAGCAGAGTGTTGAGTAGGGAGAAGACATCATTCTCTTCTGAATTTACAAATAGGCTAAAATTCCAACAAATCTTTTTTCTTTTTGTTTTTCACATGGATTCAGTTTTGCTTCTTTCAAGCTCTCAAACATGCTGGTGAATTTCTTCTGCTTTCAGGAGAAAGGACAATTTGCTGTGGGCTGCCTTACCCAAGAAATCATGCAACAATCTAGGGGCTAGTTTCAAATGAATGCTGAATGTGCCTCTGGATTAGGATTATTTAATACAGCCAAATTTCAAGGCCAGTTTAGACTTTCTTATTCTTCTGAACTATGGATAATCATTTACCCCCTCACAGGGAGGGTAACAAACCACTGCAGGGGTTAAGTAAGTAATATCTGAGCTCAGATTCCTACTTCTGCTAAATGGGATACTGATTAACTCCTTTAAACTCCGTCTTGCTGGACAGAGTTTGAAGATGGCTATGAAGATGGTTATTCCATGAACTCTGCATATAAACTCATGTCTTGTTTTCCACATCTGCCCAGAGGTGTATCACTTCGTGCATTGCATTTGCATGGCAAGTGTGTCCCTGGCTTGCAGCACAAAGAACACTTGAACCTAGCAAAAGTCTAGACCTACTTGGAAAAAGGTGTGAGCTCACAGTACCGAAAACAAATAGTTTTGTGGCCTCCAGGAAGTTAGCAGGAACTGAGTGAATTCAAAAGCTTAAACTGAAGTGTCCTTAGGAAATGTAGTACATCCCACTGTTAGGATCCTCTGGAGAAAAAAAAAAAATCCTTTTTTGGATGTTATGAAAGGAGATTTTTTTTTTTCTCTGTGTTCTATTTGACTAGTTGCTCTTACAAAGATATTTAGAACAAAAAATACCATCTTCAAAATGTGAGGCCACTGCCTTGAAGAAAAGCACTGTCTATAGCTGATTCTTCCCAAGTGCTCTGTTCTGGTGCTGTTTTTTGCCTAGGTGCTGGAAATTAGTATCAAGATCCCTGGGCTGAAAATACTTTCCTTGAAAGGAAGAACTAGTTGAAGGGCTAGGTGAGACTGAGAATTGAAGGGTATTGATATTTCCTTTTTCTGGACCCATATGTGAGGCAAGTCTCTAAACTCTGTGACTTTT